AGATACCTGTATGGAAATGGGATCACATTACCATGGATTTCGTTATGAAGTTACCTCGAACTCAAAAGGGATATGACACGATTTGGGTAATTGTTGATTGTTTGTCTAAATCTGCGCATTTTCTACCAATAAGAGAGAAATACTCTTTAGAAAAGCTAGCACAGATTTACATCAAAGAAATTGTTACCAGACATGGTGTTCCTTGTCTATTATCTCTGATAGAGATAGTCGGTTTACTTCAAAGTTCTAGGAAGGATTACAAAAAGCTTTGGGGCCTGAAATCCGATTAAGTACAGCTTATCATCTGCAGACTGATGGATAGAGTGAAAGAACTATTTAGACTCTCGAAGATATGTTGAGAAGTTGTATTATTGACTTCGGGGGATCGTGGGAAGATGACTTACCATTAATAGAGTTTGCATATAACAATAGTTACCATTCCAGCATCCAAGCGGCACCGTATGAAGTGTTGTATGGACGTAAATGCCGAACGCCATTGTGTTGGAATGAAGTGGGTGAAAAACAGCTGACGGGTCCTGAAATTGTCCAAGAAAATTCTGAAAAGATCGAACAGATCCGCGAAAGAATCAAAACAGCACAAGATCGTCAGAAAAGTTATGCTGATAATCGTCGAAAGCCTATTGAGTTTGATATAGGTGATTTTGTGATGTTAAAAGTTTCACCATGGAAGGGTGTTATCATATTTGGAAAGAAAGGAAAGCTCAGTCCAAGGTATGTGGGCCATTCAGAATATGTAAGCGAATTGGGCCAGTAGCATATCAGTTAGAGCTGCCARAAGAGCTGAGTCTGATTCACAACACTTTTCATGTGTCAAATCTGCGGAAATGTTTGGCTGATTCGAGTCTAGCTATACCGTTGCCAGAGATTCAATTAGACAGTAAGCTGAATTTTATGGAAACACCGGAAGCTGTAATTGAATAAAAGATCAAGGTGTTGAGAAACAAAGAAATAAGTCAGGTAAAGGTTCAGTGGAAGTTTCAGAAAGGACCGGAAGCAACATGGGAATTGGAATCAAAGATGAGATCAGAGTACCCATCGCTTTTTTATTTAAGGAATTCCGGGACGAAATTCTTTTGAGGGGTGGATAATGTGATAACCGGATCCTGGTTATCACCCAAGGTAATTAATGTGTGATTATCTGATTAAATGATTTTATGACAGCATGATAAATTGATACGTTTGATCATGCTAGTATATGAATTTGTGCATTAATTGGATATATATATATATATATACATATATAAATGCATGATATATGTGTATATATGCATAGGTATATATGTATGTGTGCATGGTTTGTGGGTATGCATGCACATGGAGTAGCCGACCTTCCTGTTTGGGAAGGGTATATAAAAGGAAGGTTAAGTCTCCATTAAATCTTCTTGCTATTTTTGGAGAAAAGTTGAGCAATTTAGAATAAAAAGAGTTGACCGGATTATTTCTTGTCTAAAAATCAAGTTGGTTTTCAAAAGGCTTTTAAAGTGAGTAATTTCTAAACCTTTTTGCATAAAACTTGTTATTGGTTTTATTTGAATGTTATTTATTATTGGAAAGAAATCAGTTAATTACTTAAGGGTTTTTATCTGGGCAAAAGCTGACCGGATTAAGTTTAAATCGGACAAAGCTTGTCCGGATTATTTGTAAATCAGTCAAGGGTTGGGCGATTAAGCCCTAAACCGCTTAAGTGTTGAACGGTTTAGTCTTAAATCGATTAAGTGTGAAGCGAGTTAAGATTGTTAAGAATAGTTAACATTTTGAACTAAGAAGTAGGAATACGACCATATGGTGACCGGATTATTTTAAACCGGTCAAGCTTTGAGCGATGTATTGTCCGAACTTGTTTATCCGGACAAAGATGTGGAATTTTATTCTAAGTATTAAATCGGACAAGCCTTGGGCGATGAGTTGTCCGGAGATGAAGTCCGGCCAAGCCTAGGTTGACCGGATTTGAGTTGTGCCTTGTGTTTGAATGATAAAAAAAATGTTATTTTATCATAAAATGGAGATTTGATATAAATGATTTTGGATTAATAATAATTTCAATGGCTGCAGTTTATTTGGAATTATTTTTGTGAAATGTTTTGATGAGGAAATAAGGGTGGCATATCAAGGAGAGGTGTACTATGGGATAAGGGTGGCATATCAAGGAGAGGTGTACATTTGATATAAGGGTGGCATTTGTATGTGTGTTGTATGATATAACTCTTTCTATTATATCCTTTATGACTACCATGGTCTGGAATCTTTATTTCTCTGTGATTTAAAGATTTAGGATCAAAGTTCTTATTGGAAATCATAGTCTGGATGTTATTGAAGAGAAAATATCAGGTTTGGCCTGAAACTTTATATGAAACCTGATTGGTTCAAAGGTATGAGAATTGAATAGCTGAGTGCTTAGTTTGAAAGTAAAAATGACCTGGTATTATGTACATATTTGTTCATATATTTGTTATATATATGAAAGGTTGTTTTCCATAAAGGTTTTGGTGAATTTCACCCTGCAATAACATAAAAGGGTAACTCACTAGACCTTTCGGTCTAACTCTCATTTTGTGATTTTAACTATGTGTTGTAGGATGTGCGGACGGTAAGGGAAAAGGGAAAATGTAATACTTTCCTATATGCATTTATGCATGAAGATCTGTTTTTGATGTACAGTTTTGATTGATTAGTACAAGATATGTAATTGAATTTTTTTTTGGACCTTGTATTTGATTATGATAGATTCTTGTACTAAGGGACCTGATCGGTATATAAACATGTATTTCTTTTGTATGAAATATGTGTTACATGCAATGTATGTTAATGGGGTGTTACATACTTCCATTTGAACATGTGAATTAGGTACGTATTAATAATTAAAGAAAAAAGTTATCAACACAATATGAACTACAAAAAACACAACACATCATAATGAACATATTCGATTAAAATGAGTCTAATAAAATATTAATCCATTACCAAGACATTCGCTTTGGTTAATTACTTCACTTCCCGAACTCGAACTCTAATTGTCACCATAAACCATTTTAATCTTCTCAATGTTGTCGATTTTTTTTCCAATGAGTTTATCCATAATAGCTTGAACAATACCGAATATTTTACTATCATATTTCATCCATGAATCAAAAACTCATAAAACAATAAAAATGGAAGATCAAGATTAAAAAATAAACAAAAATATCAATATTATAAATGCATATTTTTAGAAAATTTATGATTTTGTAACTCCCCTTTAATGGTATGGGAGTTACATAGCAAATGAAATTACTCAATTACCCTTGACATTAAATTGTGAACATGATAGAAACCTAATAGAAGAATGGATTTGTGATTGGTTGACATGGTTTGCAAACTTAACACAAAAACTTTAGTTAACATTTGATCTTGTCCATATATATATATATATATATAACGATAATAAAATAAATAAAACAGGATATTATTCTAGATTTTAATTTTTTTTAATTAAGATTAATCATATTAAATATAAGATGCATTGTAATATCATTGTGGTATCACGGAGAACAGTGGCCGGAGGACGAAGGCCAGGGGACGGAGAGAGGAGAGAGTAGAGAAAATACCTAAGATGTTCTTGCATTAAAATTTTAATTCAAAATTACCAAAAATATAAATTTCTTAATTTATCTATTGATTTGTGGTTGAGATTGGACTTCACGGTTACCGCAAACTAATTTTTTCATTTGATTAGCCTCATATATATATATATATATGTGTGTGTGTGTGTGTGTGTGTATAAGAATATTATTTTTACTTTTTTATAGGAAAAAAGCTAAAATGGACATTGATTGTTGGAGTTAAACAGAGGCATTAGTTAGATGGACCATGACCAAAACAAATTGAATACCACAAGGATCCTTAGTCAAAACAATATCAAAACAGGGGGACCAAATTCACAATTCACTCTATAATATATTTAAAGTTTTTGATTTTTATAACCAAATACAAATTTAAAAAAAAAAATATCTTTAATCTTAAATAACTATTATATATAATATAAATAAAACAAAGTTGGGCTAACCTTACATATCTTAGTTAATTAATAATTTCTTAAAAGAA